CAAAGCACTTTGCTATTACAAAACACATACTTCTACTATTAGAAGGTGTGTGTGTACAGTATATGGCCGAAGACAAGAGCATGATGACTCTAGTACTACATGTGATAATTTAATTTTCAGCCTCCTAGGAAGAAACTGAAAAAAGCTGTAAAGAGTGAAACTACTCTGCAGGATTGGTAGCTCTCCTTCAGTACAGAGGAGACAACAGAAGGGTACAAACAGCGAATGCAGCACTAAGAAGCTCTGAGGCCAGCAAGGACGAGAAGGTTGGCCCAGCCACACCTGAGCTGGACACACTTGGCTGTCTTTGTAAAGCTCATGTGCAAAGTAACTGCACAAAGCAGCTTGATCATTGCATTAGCGGGAACTGCTCCACATCTCACCAGGGGCGAACAAGCCCACTGTTCCAAAAAACGATTTTGCTTTCACAGTTGCTTGACTGTCATCTTACCTACTTTAGTATTTTACTCATTAAATATCTATTTCCCAAGTCTTTCCTAAGATCTGTGTCTTCCCTTTCCACAAGCCTCAGCCTGTTACCCAGCATTGGAGCTGCTGAACATCTAATGGCCTCCACACTTGTGGAATTCTGCCCTATTCAAGCAGTTGGTTTGAGTTATTTCCCTGAAATGTGGCAGCTCCTGGAAAAGGGGCCTTATAGACATTTCCTTACCTTCATTCTGAATTGACATAGTTGTTGTAGGTCAGTTCAGAACTATGTAATTTGTTGAATTTACTTTATCTAAAAAGTATTCTGGTAATTTTTGTCTCCTCTTTCTGATACAGATTTGGTATTTTAGCTCTACCAACACTTGGCTATGATTTAACGTTTGGGAAAAAACCAAAAAGCTAACACTTTAAAACTGTATATACAATTGTTCATTAACGGACAATCAATTACTGCCTAAAAATCTTGCAAATTAAACAATGTGCAGTGCAATACAGTGACACATTTCGTTTGCAAACCCTTGTGCTCTCCAAAACCAACTTCCTATTCCAAGGATAAACAATATTACTACTGATTTTATTCACCAGGACATACATCGGTGTCAAAACACAACCCTTATAAATGCAGCTAAAGATTTTCAAGTCATGTAGAACTTTCTTGCTGCTATTTTCTCTTCTTTCTCAACAGGTTGCTTCTCATGGTACCAAAGTTTAATATATGGATGGGTTTTCTTTGTTTCCTCTCCACAAACCTTTCAAACATGCTTTGTAAAACTGAATTTCTGTCACTCTGATATGTTCAGGGGCCTACAACTGCTGCTGCTGTGTCTGTGATGAGCTGGTGAGCTCATTGCAGCTGGAAAAGGAAGGTGCCAGCAACTGGACCTGCCAGTTACTGGTTTGCTGTTTTCTCCTAAGCCTGTGCTGAACAGCAGAACACAGGGGAATGCACCCCAGCTCCTTTTTGAGCTAATATCAGCCAAACTACAGTTGGGCCACTGTGTGCAGGAAGTCTTTCCCCTCTTCTAGACTTTCTTCTGTTCCTCCAAATCCTTAGAATTCAAAGTCCTTTCTTTCCAATACCTTAACTGCACAAAAGCAAACCTCTGCCCTCTGCGTCTGCCTTTACTGCGGCCCAGTACAAACACCACTTTTTATTGCCACGACAGTCGCTTTGACTTCCAGTTTCTGAAGAACAGCCCTCTTTGTAATCCTGAAGTCTCTTAATTGTGGTTTGCATATTGTAAACATCACTTTAGGTGGAGTTCGCACCCAGAAAGGGGTCCCTCATCCTTTCTTCAAGTTGAGTCCTTCCACAAGCATCTTTCACCTGTGGAGGTTCTGGTTTTACGGGGAAGCTGGAGGATTTTGATTTGTTTTGTAAATCTATCGAGCTGTATTACAGGAAGAGACACGCCCCAGCAATTCAGGCCCTCTGAGTTTGCCTTTGTTGAATGATGGAGTGGGTTTCTTCACCCTTTTCACTGTAGAGGTCATGCTCAGCAACTCAATAACCATGGCAGATATTGTCTGATGGACTTGAACATTCTTTTAAGGAACATATTCCATGTTCTTTGTCACGAAATAAAGAACCATAGGGAGATGTGCTGAAAAATTTTATTTTCAGGACTGACTTTGAGAGATGGAACGTTTAGGATTTACCAAGGTCACTGGTGGATGAGAATGATCTTTCATGTTTCTCTCAATGAAGGGATTGAGCCATGTATAAGGAATGTAGTGCAATCATATAGGGGCTAAATTACGTCTTTCACTGACCTAGCAGCCTGTGGAATGAGAAACTTCTGTACGCTTCCTGAGGTAGTACTCCATGTAGGCAGGGTATCTCCCTTTTCACTTACCTCACCCCTTTTAAAGATATGGGAAGGGGGTTATAGATGGGAGTGGAGTGCAGTGCGGAGCAGCATGGCTCACCATAGGAACAGCATTTAAAACCTCTCTGCTGACAACACAGGAAGGAATGAAGAAGAAGGATTTTCATAGAACCATAGAATAGTTTGGGTTGGATGGGACCTTAATGATCATCTAGTTCCAACCCCCCTGCCATGGGCAGGGATGCCTCCCACTACACCAGGTTTCTCAAAGCCCTGCCCACCCTGGCCTTGAACACTGCCAGGGATGGGCCAGCCACAGCTTCTCTGGACAACCTGTGCTGGTACCTTACCACCCTCATACTAAGTAATTTCTTTCTAATATCTAATCTTCCCTCTTTCAGTTTAAAGCCATTCCCCCTTGTCCTATCACTCTCCAGCTTTCTTGAAAGGCCCCCTTTTGGTATTCGGAGCTGCTCTAAGTCTCCCCACAGCCTTCTCTTCTCCAGACTGCACAAGCCCAACTTTCTCAGCCTGTCTTCACAGGAGAGGTGCTCCAGCCCTCTGAGCATCTTCGTGTCCCTCCTCTGGACTCACTCCAACAGGTCCATGTCCTTGTTATGTTAGGGACCCCAGAGCCAGATGAGCCATATGCAGTACTCTAACCCAAAATGAGAGTAGTCAATATTACAAGCCATGTATGAGGAGCATTGTCTGTGGTACTGCAGGAAGAATCTGAAGACGCAGTGAAGCCTTGAGTGCATGACCAAAGCCTTGCCTTGCTTCTGCATCATCTGTCACAATCCAAACGATAAACCAGCAGAGGAGCCAGTGTGTTCACATGCAAACCACTGTATGGCTATATGGCATTTACCTTTTGAGGGCAGGAACTGATACTGCCTAACAAGAAGCTTCACAGTTACTACAGAAGATAAGATTCAATTAGGAGACCGGAAAAGTAGCGTGTGATTGAAGTTGTATGAAGATTGCAGATGTGTTGAACAGGCAGACAAAATATTAGCAGATAGAGGTCAACCAAGTAAAAGATGCAGATGGAGGGAGATTAGGACAGCAGGCTGAAAAGGAAAGCTAATGGGGGCATCGAAAGGCAATGCTAAATTTAGCAGGAGACCTAACTTTCAAACATGAACAGAAAGTTACTCTGTCTTCTGCAGATTTTCACTCTAAGTACAGTACAGGCGACTTTTGATTCTCACAGACAATAAGCAGAGTCTTAAAATATATCTCAAAATATGCTTTAGGACACTGTGCCCAAGATCTTCCCACACAGGAACACACTGCTAAGTCATGATTTAAATGAGGGCTGACATTTCCAACATGTATTTTCAATGTAGGACAAACCTAGTCTAGAAGCATGCCAGGATTTTTCTTCTTTTCTTTATAGCCTTTTTTTTTTTTTAGGAAAAAAAGACGATTTATTGTTATTACAAATCCTGATGTTGCAGGTGTGTGATCCCTACAAAAAATGTTTTCCATGTTGCTCCTCACCAGGGAATTCATGGATGAGCATTTTACACAAGCTACCACGCCACTGCTCACACTGCTTCAGGGATCCTGGTTGCTGAGATCCATTGCTCTGCTATGATCTGCAGCAGTTTGCAGCTGACTTGTTCTGCTGATAACCAACTGCAAAAGTAGCATCTAATTTTTCAGCATTAAATTACTTGGGGGTGGGGGAAAGCTCTAGAGAAATGACCAGTATTTGTTTTTGTGTTACTATCACAAAACAAATTGAAATTTTAATAAAACAGTGGTTACCGAAAGACAAGGTAGTTTCTAAATATATTGTCTGGGAAATGATAACAGAAATAAGCTTCTAATGAAACTCTATACCTATAGAGATAACACACATCCAAACTAAGAGATAGAAAGACAATATGCAGTAGAAAAATTTTATTGACATGAGCTTGGGATGACTTTTACGTACAAAGGTGAAGCGTTAAGAAACAGTTCAGTAATCCTTTCCTCTTCCAGGCTTAATTTGAGAAAAATGCTACTTTGAAAGTTACAGGCATGACCCTGTTACTGTCCGCAGTTCTCTAAACTATCCCCAGGTGGCCGATTGGCAGGCACCCAAGTCTGATGTCAGGAAAACTCTATGCTTTCCTCTGCCTACCATAAACCAAGACCTAGACACGAGTGTTTCCACATCACTACCATTCACAAGTATGCAAATAAAGACCAAAAAGAGAGACAGGGAAATACACCCTTTATAGAAACGCTTCCTCCTGGGAACACGAGCTACCTCTGTAGTGGGGGGAAAATGATAAAGACTTTAATTTTAACTGCAACTCAAGTATAATTCCACAGCAATTACATCTTAAATCCACAATAGAAATAGATAATTACATAGTAACTCATGTTATCGCTACTACATTATCTGTGATAATACCGTAGTTAAGCTTGTGCTCAAATTCCTTTTCAGTAAAGTCTGTTTCTGTAAAACACTATTTCTCAGATACTTTTAAAACATTAATGAAGTATATAAAAGTTTTTACAGTATACAAGAAAAGCTAAGTTAATAAATGATCACATTGTCTTCAGTTTTATCAAAGAATAAGAGTCTGAGAAAAATAACTTATTGCATTTTAATTTCTCAATCTCTTTCCTTTTTTAAAAGATTAAAGTTATAATGGAAATTCATGACATTTTAGATGAAGAAAAGCTTGGGAGAAACAAAATCACAATTTAGCAGGCAGAGGATGGGGAAATCAAAGTATTCGGTATGGCTTGTAGCTGAAAGTAATTGATCTGCATTTCCAATCATTTTAGTTATTGCCACATTCCATTAATTTTTCAATAAATGAAGATAAAAACATGTCTTTAAAATGCATGTACAATAGCATTAAGCCATTGCTGTACATACTGTGCAACTCATCTGAATGCAGTTTAACACGTGAACTTAATAGAATATATTTATGTACAGTATATACACAAACAGAATCCTGTGGTAATACCCCTGAATATTATCAGTTAAATGAGTAATTTTCATAATAAAGGAAGAAAAAATACCTCAAACCCTATTGTCTCTGAAGGTTGCAAAACTGCCCATTTCTGAAGTTTAAATCGATATAATTTCTAGCCGATTTACATAGAAATGAAACTGTGGTCCTGTACAAACTTTACATTACAGGGAAACAGTTTATTTTAAAAAAATATTTACATATTTGAGTACTTGGTTCTTTGCAGTAGAGATTATATGAACACAGAAAATTGTATGGTAGGCAGGTTTATTTATTAGATTTTTCTGTTGGTTCTTTTTTGTGCAAATTCCAGATCTCTCGTTTTGTGGTGTTATCTGCTTCTATTTGCCTTGTATTACTGCTGCTGCTTTTTTTAGTATTCTGAGAAGGCTGGGTGACTTTACTTCTAGGAACAGGAAGAAAAGATTTAACTCTTGAAACACCCAACTCTGTCATTGATTTACTGTTGCTGCTTTCCACAGGTCGACTGCTGCTGAGAGGACGTGTTCCATCCTGTGAAAAAAAACCCCATTTTCTGTATAAATAATTATTGCCATTTGGGCTGAAAAACAACCAACCAACCCTACCAGCCCCAACCTTTTGCAGTTTAATAGGACAGCTTCTTACTACCTGGTGAAGAAACTATGGCTCTTTTTTGCTTCTTTGACTGAAAGGAAATATCATCAACACCTTAGAACATCAAAATCAGTCAATGGAGTGTTTGCCACTGAGAAAAAAAACCCTTAGATTTGATTCTCAGATGTTTCAGTTTCAGGAGTACCCAAATAAAAAATGCATGTTCTTTCTTCCATTAGTGTGGAAAAAATGACAGCTGCAGACACAGCTAAAAGGGAAAAATCAAAGTTTAGGTAGTTATGAGAAAAAAATTCAGCATTACAGTTTGAATGAAGATGCGCATTTTTGTACCAGCAAGGCCATAAATAACGACAAAATAATTCTGACAAAGCCCAACATTTCAAGACTGGAAGTTGAAATGATAGTTACATTTTAAATATTTATGCTAAGTAGCTGCAGTCTTAAGAACTGGACCTGCCCAATATCCACTCTGCCCAAATTTAGATACCTGAAGTGCCAAAGTCAGGTACATTGTCACTGTTTGTTCCTTTACAGTCAAGGAGAAAGAGGTTAGTTAAGCCATTTTATGATGGTCACTAACTTACATTTTTCATGAGAGATGCCTACCTTTCCACTTACAGGAAAGGGGAACTGGGACTGCTGGCATCAGCTGAATCCTGATCACCTTCTGGGCAGCGATATTAAAAAGTTCATTTTCACCATCACTGTCAGCTACTGCTCTTCACGTAAAGGTTGCTGTCATGAAAACAGACTACTCATTGCCACCTATTCCTTATTAATCCCTGATTCCATCAGTTTGTTTGTATCCTGGATTAAAGATTTTGCATCTCTTACCAATTTTCTCTGTCCCCTTCACATCCTTGAAAGCATTTCTTCTTCCAGCCAATTAAAAAAAAAAAGAAAAAAAAAAAAAAGGGTATGTTGCCCTATGAAGTAATTTGTCTCATTCTGTTGGTAAGATCTCCTCTGCTCCTGCAGTATTGCTTTTGTTACCTCCAGAACTCTACTTTCAGAAAAGCAGGCTTTTCTAATTGCAAACTTTTTCAGACATCAGTTCTTGCATCTGAGTGTTCATCATTGTTACAAACTGACTCTAAAAAGTTTCACTTTTGCTTGCAAACTAAGACTGTGCTCTTCCAGATTTCTGAGAAATTTGTTGTAGTAATGACTAAATCTAGAACAGATCTAGATTAGATCTATTAGATCTCTTTCCCTTCTAGCGAAAACTTGGGTTGTGTTTCTTTTCATTTTGGCCAACATTTGCCCACAGAGATACGGGAAATAATTTCTTTTTTTTATTCTGTATGAAATATTTTGACTAATTCTTCAGCAAACTCAAAGGTAGTCAAGCCTGTCTGCCTCCAAAGTCAACATAGTTATGCCTTATACTCTTAAAAGGAATTTTAACAGAAAACAAAAATCACTAGGAAAAATTTATGGTAGGAATGGATAGGTCAGCTGGCTTACCAAGTGATCCAGGCATAACCACTATGTGAAGCTCTGATTTGGAATGTCTGAAATTAATATGTTTAGAGAAATATTCAAAATCAGCGTATCTAAATGTGGATCTGCAATGTTAAAATTGTTTCTGTTAGCAGAGAATGTTCCTTGGACTTTAAGTAAAATTACAGAAAATATCCCAACATTTTGAATATACGTGTACGAAAAAATACGACGGCAAGGGTGGTAGGACATGTCATCCAACTTTAGCTTTTTTAATGCTTAGGTCTGCAAGTTAAGCTGTTTTCAGGGCTACTTCACTGTACCTACAGAAAAATAGAGTATCTATCTCTAGAAAACGATGTGTCTCAGTCAGACAAAAGTGTCTGAACTGGACTCTAGGGAACCCCTGTCAAGGGAACATAGAGGGCCTAGTGAGGGAACACAGGCAACAGCTTCTGCTCTGGCTGAGGTCAATTGAGCCATGTGCTCAGAAGCTCTCTTGATGTTCAAAACCACATGCAGCCAGAAAGAAAAGGAAAAAAAATTTAACAGAGAAAGCGTAATTTTTGATTTATTATCCAAAGAATGAAAACTAAATAGGATATAATTTCATCTTCAGATTTAGCAGGGACATTACCACCCACAATAAATTATTTCAGTTTCTGAAAAGACAATGCCAGTGGACCTGTTAGACCCTCCAGTAGTATTCAGCTTATCTTCCCACTCTGAAACTGCTCTGAAGTTGAAGTTTGTTTACATTTAGACTGTCTTTTCCCAGTATCACCCAACCTATAATATAGGGTTTCTTTTGATTTCTTGTAAATAAGATGGCAAAATAAATATATTACAACAAGACAAGTATATTACAACAAATAGCTAGGTAGAGAAAGAAACCGAATACCCTTAAAAAAATAAAATTACAAACTCTTGTAGTATCATCTCTTCTCAAAATTTGTACCGCTGAGATGAGAGCTTTGACACCAGAGCAGCTCAATTCTACTTAGATAACAACACTTAGGAAAACAGTGGTTTGAAATAATAAATATTTGGGTAACCACTACAAAATAAATAAATAAAGGGACAAAAATGAACCATGACCCAGCAATTTTACATCAATAATTTTACAAAGTTTTATGCTTTTGCAAACTTACTGTGTAACATTAACTGGGGGAGCGGGAGGTTGAACAATGAATCCGGGTTTTATTTCTCTCAAAATCTGATTCAAATAACATACAGTGTCAAAGTAATGTCAACAATATTTGGCCTAGGGAGATGACTTTATGTAAACATGAAAACTGAAGCAAATACATCCATTGTTTAATGAATCTTTAGTTTCCATTGAGACACATGGAAGAGACTTGGCATGGTATGTCTAGCAAGTTTCCTAAGAATCATGACAGTTTATTCTTGCAATAAACAGGGCCCTGGAACATAAATTCTTTGGATCCAATCAGGAATTCAGATTTTGAAGAAACTCAAGACACCTTCTCTATCCAACTACAAAAATCATTACACTTACCTTTTGTGCTGTTGTTTTATTTGGGTTAGTACCGCTTGCTGAAAACACAGGATTGTTCTGGGAGTTACTGAACATCAATAGCTCATCCTTAGAATCTGCTATCTAAAAAAGATCGGAAAATGGTGATTTTTTTAGTTATTCACAGCAGAGATTATGTTTCAATTTGCTAAATTTGGGAGTCTTGATTTTATTGTCATATAATTTCTGTGCAACACAATGCATAAATATCCAAAGAACAATTTAAATATTTTTCCTTTACACTTGAGTATGTTTGTAGGAAATAAAGGGAGAGATTTCACATCAACTATTATCAGAGGAAAATGAAATGCACATTTCCAGAGCAATACTATTCAGCAGAGCTTAAGGGCAGTTTCCCATTGAATTGTAACCAGCCCCAGGAACATCACCGAAAGGAATGATCCTTTTCTATTCCTCCTGCTATGTTTCTTCTCTAATTTTTTCCATCAACCTTTGTGACCATCAACAGAGTAAGTCTTACCAGTCTTCTGTCCTCACTGAAAACTAGGTATTTTATCCTGGGGCAAGCTGATCTGATTCAACTCAGCAACTGCAAAAGTACTCAATCCAAACATAACAGGGGCAGCAGAAACATATTTGAGTGAGAGGGAAAATCAGAGGGTAGAATTACTTACTTTGATGGCAGCCTGAAATTACATCACACAAAGAAAACATGCAACAGCACCCTCACTTCTGTAAGACTCTACTAGGCAGCTGGGGAATTAACAACAGAAATTCCAGCCATGGATGGTTCCACCCATGGTGAGGAAACTGAACAAAAGACAGTGACATCTATCTCCTTCCTTATCTAACCCATATTTCCTTGAATTGTCAACAACAAGCAATTACATTTTAAATGTTATTAAACACAATTTTCAATTGGTTACCATTTCTTTAAGCACATCCCATTCTTTCAAAGATAGCTATGGTAAATCCCTGCTAACTGACTAGAGATGAGCTTGCCAGCTTGGCACATGTGACTCATGCAAGTACTGTAAATACTTTAAACAACCAACCCTAAACAAAAGGATCTCATTAAATAGGTTGAAAAATCTTCCCAAACACAAGTATTTCTTTTTTTAATAAAAACTTGGCTGACTTCTAAGAATAAACAGAATACTTAATAAAGCAAAACTAATGAAATTGCTGTTCAGGGAGATCCTACAGGATGTAATGCACAGCCTAACTGGACAACAGCCGAAGACTGACTCCATCTGTGTTTCAAAAGATATGAAACAGCTGCACTGGTGTGAACACAACCAGCTGTCACAGCCATCTATTTCTGCTGTGCTAGGAGGAAAAAAGCAAAAGAAGAAATAGCTACACCTACAGGGAGAGCTGGATGCTTTTAGTGTAGAAGGAAAAATGAGAGAGATCCACGGCTCCACCCTCTGCTCCAACAGGCTTCCCATAACCACCCACAACCCACTCTGGTGTAGAACACAGCCCCAAACCTGAGCCTTGCAAGCATCCCTCACTGTCTTCTGCCACTCTTAAAGAAAAAGAACTAGGCCAATCCATTCTTTCTTGCTTGGGGCAGCAAAAATGCATTTTGCCTACACAGCAGAGGAGCTTTGAGCCAGTTTTGTGATGGCTATTGGGATTACATCAAACAAAGCAAAAGTGCAATGCATATTAGGAAAAACTTCCTATGTCTTTATGACTACAAAACAGTTTCCCACTGGAAACAATAACAGCATGAAAGATAACATGGGGAGCAATAATGCAGCTATTGTCACTCACATTTATGAACTTATAAATTTCAGCCTCCACTGAAAAAGTCTCTACAAGAAAAAATAGTGAAGATGTCATTTAAAATAATGTACATTAAACTAGGCCACTTACCTTCAAATGTATAATTTATTTGTTGACTTTGGCTTATTCCCAAATAATTTAATTATTTTCTTCAGTTCAAGCAGTGCTTGTAAATTAAAAATTTATTCAAACACGTAGCAAACAACTGCATATGGTAATGTAGTAAATTATTTAAAAGCCTTGTGTGTACCTTGCTTATATCAGGCTCAGATTTGCTGTAACACATACTCTGAAGTTCTTGCACAAGATCTACTTCATCATCAGAACCAAGGGACAGCCTCTGCTCCAGATTTAATGTTTTCAATTGAACCTTCTCTGAAGATCTGGTTGGAAAAAAAAAAAAAAAGAAACAGAACAGTTAAAATTAAGCTATGATACAGAATTTAAGCATAAATATTATACACACCTGAAAATAGTAATTTCTTTCGAAATCACCTCTTCATTCTGAAATTTAACAAAGGACTCTTCTGCCTACTCTTTCCAAAGATTCTCCTCTTTGTAAGGGAAGCAATCAATTTTATCCCTCTCTCCTTTTTGAACTTCATTCTAAACACTTAAAAAACCCCTGGCATACTGTAAGCATAAATATTCTATGCTCTCTGTGCCTGTAGAAGCAAGGTATCAGACTGAAGTTTCAAATGCAGTTCCCTCTGGCTAACTCATAGACTTTCTTAGAGAAACTCTGTATCATTTAGACTAAAGTGCATGCACTATACCATTGTGAATTGCCATTCAGTAAGCTAAAAGAGCCAGAGGAGTTTTTAAAATACAATGCGAGGTGAAAAAAGCATATGGGTGGCTTTTCATGCCACAGTAACTGCTACATAATATTCTTAAGTCACAGACTACTCTGTTATATAAAAAAAACATGTAATGCCACAAGGTTTGGATTACGGAAATGGATTCTAAAATAATATCAAAATTATTTTCTCTCAGAAGTTAAAATTAAAAGGGATTACTTTCTTCAGATTTAGAACCAAAACATGAACAAATATGAACTCTTCATATATTCATTATAATGTGCAGGTTTACAACACAATTTTATCGTCTTTCTTGTTTGCTAAATGTTATGAATACCAGAAACTAAAACTTACTTTGTGGCAAGGGAAGCTCTTTTCTTACAGTTTGGTTGCAACATAGTCTTGGATTTTATACCTGCACAAAACAGAGATTGACTTATTAGTGTGTTATCATGTGCACTGATTTCTGTATTCTAAAATCTGTGATAAACAGGAAAAATGGGTTACTATTTACTGCCTAATTGTATCAATAGAGTCTGTCAAAGACCTGAATACATTCCTTGAAACTGCTCAGAGCAGCACTAGGAACTGCTCAAATGGGAAACGGGGCATGAGTTGCCAAAGCTTTTGTAGAAGACAGAACATGAAGTTTCTCTGTGAGGCAGCTGAACCACCCTTACCGATTCTCTCAAAGAGAAATCACTTGTCAACAGGAAAAGTTTTACATTTGCTTCATTTAAGTAAAATCAAACAACTTATCTTTGGAATCAGGAACAACATTTGATTCTGACAGTCAGAAATGAAAGGGTAATAAAATTAAATTTGCCATTTAATTTTTTTTACTTATATTCACAGATATTAACTGGGCTCCAAGAACACTTTCAGGAACAATATACAGTATCAAACATCCTACTCCAGGTTATGTTCACCTGATATCTTAAATCCTCTTAGTGAGATTAGATAAATTCACAATTCAGAGAACCAGCAAGCAAAACCAGGACATTAAATTACACTTCAGAAAAAGCAGACTTCTTTCTGAACAAGAGTCAAAGAAATGAATAGCTGAATTTAACATTACAAAGTACCAGGCATCAAGTATTTCAATCTTTTATATATGAAGTAATTGAGGCTAGAATCACTGTTTGTAAAGTGTATGTGTGGAAGCCTCTTCCTAAATCCCTTCCTAAATCTCCTCTCTGAAGGACTTACCTTCATTTTCTGAAAGCAAAATAATTAATTTGATTTTGTCCTCTAGATGTTCTTCCTGGTTTATACTGTATTCAGTTATGGTATTCCTAAGTTGTTCTTCTAGAGAGATGTGTACTTCTAGAAGAATGATACCCAGACATTATCCCAGTGTGGTAAACTGCTTGTTAGATGGCTTATGATCTTGAGGTGAAAAGACATTTCAAAAGCGTTAGCTACTAATGTAACTTTCACATTTATACACATGCAGAGGCCAAGTCATATAAAGCCTTCTTTATCAAGCAGCACACTGAAAATGATGTAGGAACTTCCTTAAGGCATTACAGTATCTGTGACTACAGAGTTTTTTTGCAATTAAAGTGAAAATCAAACATAAATCTTCCATTTAAAACCAAAGATCTCTTCCTTCCACTACAGGCTTCTAGATTATTCAGCTCAGTTTATCTAGTGAGAATGAACAAGGGAAGCATGACCTGAGGATGCAAGCATTAATTTATTTTTACTTGGATTCAGACAATAGTTATAACTGTAGTAAAGCTATAAAGCATATGTAAAAACAACCCCAAAAGTAGGCATACTACAAATTAGGTGCAGAACTAAGGAGAAGCTTTCTCTCATCCGGTATTGGGGAAAAGACTGACAGGGCGTCGTTCCACACAGTATGAGGTGGAACCAGTGCTCACTCTTCGACCATCTTAGCCAAAGCCTACCTAATTATCAGACAACAGGAAGGCATTAGAACAAACAAACAAACAAAACCAAATTAATTAGGATACCACAAAGAAGTAATTTTTTTGGGGGGGAAAAGTAAACAACTTTATACTGGTAAACATAAACATGTATGTAATTTAATTGAGAATTTTTAATTCACAATATAGAAGAAAAGTTAGCTTAACTCCCCACACGTTCTTATAGAATTCGAAATTGCAAGCTTTACCTTCAGTATGTGTATCCTGCTTATTCCATGACTGGGAGGATAAATGGCCTGACTTTTTGCGAGGACTTGTGCTCACTTTTCTCCAAGAAGTATTCTCACCTCTTTTCTTAGTACAATTTTTGTAGCTTGAAACAACGGATAAAGGAAAATTTCCTCCCTTAAAATCTGCTATATAATTATCTAACTCTGGAACAAAAGTAGAACAGTGTTAAGAAGAATTGACTGTTGCAAATGGTTCTTCCTTAACTATCTTAGACAACTACTTAGTTTAGCAACTGGAAATACTTTTAACCACATATTGCCCATCATTACTACAGTTGTTTTGTGCAAGTTTTGAAAAAGGAATTGAGAAGTTAAAAGCCCCACTTTAGCCATGTACAACTACTTGCCTTTCAAACAGTTCATTGTTACCTGTTCTGGGTAGAGGACAGCCATGCAGAACAGCTTTATTTAGCAAGATACTGAGAGCAGCTTTAACAACAGCCTGTTGACCCTGGCTAGGATTTTTTTTGGCTATTACTTGTCCTGGTACAGATGGTCTTTTCACAGAGGCTCTGGAGAGTATTGCTTCTTGAACTCTGGGAGCTATCACAGCATTCCATAATTTGGACATCCACCTGTAGGCACACAAACAATCCCTCAACTTCAGATACAATTATCAAGCCCCAAGATTTTATACTTTGGGTAAAATAGAAGATTTTGCATTTTCAGTAAGCACATATATTTTGGACTTAATAACGTACCTCAAGTCAGAGAGGAACTGATTTTATCTAAGGTAGAGTTTATTTGTTTGGTTTGTATTAAATTATTTGATCTAACTTTCTTCAGGTTGTTTTGGCAAACTGTTTACCATCTGAGGCTTTGCCTCCTTCAGATAAGGACTATCCTTTTCATTTTAAGGCTAACAGAAGGGATGTCCCAGAAAGATGTGTGTTCATGTATATACAAAAAAAGCCTCTTTCACCTTTGCCAGTGCATGGAGAAATTTCCATGCCTGCAGGTGTTCATTCATAGCCTATTTGCTGCCAGCGTGAGAAAAAGGAAGTATTCAGTTATGACTGCACCCTTTCCAGTATTCCTCTGTTTCAAAACTTGCCCAGTTTACAAGACTTTTCTATTCATACAGCTGCCTTGATCTCTCTCTCCTTTGTTTATTTGATCTATGGTGAACTCTGTTTCCAGGATGCCGTGGGTTTTCCAGATAGTCTGGTTTAGAGACTGGGTCTGATTATAAGAATTTGATTCAAAAGGACATGGTTCTTCTGGGACTTTTGCTTTCCTAAGAAATAAATATTACGCTGTTTTAGCACAGAAGTGAAAAATTTGTGTTAGGTGATAAATAAATGCTATTTCTTTCAGCTTATGATTCTCAAGGGATAAAGGCTATGAGTTTCAGGGCTCAGCTCACATCTATAACAGACACTGAAGCAGTCTTTTTTTAGATCAAATCCAACTGTTTTTTTTGTTGTTTTTTTTTTTTTTCCCTATAGCCTCTTATGGGAGGAAGATGGTAAGATTGAGAGTCAGAGGGTTTATTTATATGAAATTACAGACTATAATGCTGTGTTTCAGCTCTGCAGAAATCCATTCAGAAAAAGCGAAGGCTAAATTGTCAGTTTGACTTAAAGGAACCATTTTGTTGGATACGCTGATACACAGAAACCATCTTATTATCCAGCAGATTATGACGACTTCTTTTGGTTTTGGTTGTTTTGGTGGGTTTTTTTTAGTTAGAATGCATAAATCTGATAGATGTATTTTTGGTTGGTTATGAAGCATAAAATTGAGTTTCTATGATACATAAACATGCTACAAAGTGCTGGTATAAGCTTGATAAAAGTTACATTACTTTAAAATAATTAATACAGTTGTTAAAATAAGACGAAAAATGCATATTGGCATTGTTCCTTGAGGCTTCCTTAGCATAATATTGTACATACTATTTCATACAGATACAGTCTGCATCTGCTAGCTGAGGTAAGCTACCAAAATAAACAATTGCATTCATTTTAGTAATAAAGAACTCTCTCCATTTCTGCCTATGTAAGCTTTTGACATTTTGCAGTATTGCCAATAGAAATGGTCAGAAATGAATGCTGCAAAGATAAAATTAATTGAGCCCATTCTAAGCTAACAGTTAATAATTGATGGACTGTACAGTGCCATCCTCTCTAAATAAAATTCCAACCTGGTTTGGGCTCATTTTGATCAGGTCCCCAGTGGATACTTGCAAAAGGTAGAGCACACTCCTGTCCCTGAGAAAGAGCTGTAAAGTGAAACTCTTTCCTGTTGGAACATCATCTTCAATTCCCTAGATCAAAACCAAGAAAGAAAAGTAGCTAAAATTTTCCTCATTTACTCACTCTACTCTCCAAACCATGGGAAGCTACATGAAACAGCACACAGCAGGAAACAATTTCCTGTCATGCCTTCACTCCTCCTTCCAGCCGCCTGCTTCTGCCACTTGCCTCATGCTAACACTTAGCCCAGAAGAAACCCAGACTGTAGATAGCTGTCTACTGTCCTAATGAATTAAACTGGCTCAGTGAAGCTTTAACAAATGCCAAAAGCAGCAGAATAACACAGTGGAAAGGAGGGGCAAGAGGACAGGAGTGGTTAATTAGATTGAAATATCAGCAACCACTGAGCTGCTAATTAAAGCTAATTATTGCTAGTTATATGACCACACTGTTAGTCATCATGCTGTTAAACTAAAAGTGTCCAGTAAGTGCTCACTGGAGCTGTGCTTTTTGATTGTTTATTAGTGGACAAAAAAAACCACATTAAAATGAGGAGTCAGACGGCTTATCACTACTCCAGAAGACATTTTGGGGTTGTGCCCAAAATAAAGCATTGTGAATCCAGTCAAAGTTACACATAGAAGAAATCCAAACTCAAAATGCATTATTAAGGTGTCTAAGGAACAGGTTTTTTGTCCTCTACTGATGCCTCTGCAATAAATAAATGATTAAGACATTTCGGAGGATGTGATTCAAAAGGAAGAGAGGAGATAGATGCAAGGTATAATTTATTCTTTTTTATTTCACAGCACCCATAAAATTTCATGTCGGTGCTACATCCATATTAGATGGATTAGATTTAGACTTTGATAATTACTCTGGGTGTTAGATAATCTGCCTTTTAAAAAAATACAGAAAATGAACAAGCAAAATGTTTTAAGATCTGCAGACAGAACAAAAGATGAAAAAGCCAGTGTATATGCTAAGCAAAGGACCATGTAAGAAGGTCAGCAGAAACTAGTACAAGAGAGAAAAGTCAGAGAGGGAAGAGAAGTGGCAATTCAGGAGAATGCTATGAAGCAGGATGAGAAAAGTAATGTCTCATCTTTAGAAACTAATATTATTTGAATTCTGAATAATTTTGAATCTTAGGGGTTCATTACCTTTCCAATACAGCCAAGCAACATCTTAGCATGCAATTAATCTATTTTAAATTCTGTAACTATTTCTTGTATCACTTGCTAGCATTTGCAGAAAAGTTGGAACGTGAGTAGATGCGTGTGCAATTGTAGGCAAGAAGAGACAAAATTTTCGTCATTCTTCTTTTATTCTACTGGACATCTAACCATGTGTATACATCTGCCTTATTTACTAAGCTAGTACATCTCTAAGATCGCATCTATGTTTAAAAATGATACCGATATTAAAAAGAGTTAGAAATCATTCTCCAAATTTCCCACATGTACAACTTTAAAAGGAAACATTATCAACTTTTCAAGCTCAGAATTCTAGAATTTTGTTTTGGTCTGTTTACTAATGAACAGCTTTCTTTACAGTGCTCTCTTGAAATGAAGAACAAAACCTTTAAAGGGTTGAGCAATAATTAGCCATTGCAGTATAAGTAATACTGAGCAACCTGTGTGTCAGAAAATAACAAAAAGGACTGACTTTCAACCAGTGTGACACACCCAGTTCACACTTATGCCGTTCAGAATTACCCTTCCAGTAATTAAATATGAAACAAAAGTTTAAAACTTTCAATTTCCACTAAAATACTTTCAAGGTTGTTGAGTCAGGTGGAGTTTAGCAGAAATGTAACTACTATATTTGCAATAAGTATTTAGTTGGCACTGAACAGTGTCAAACAGGAAACAGCAATCTTACTTCACTGTCACTTGGCCATGCCCTGGCACCACCGGACAAGAGAAGAAATGTTTTGGCCCCATAAGTGCTTCAGGTGCTCCTAGACGTGATAAGCAAGAGTTCAGCTGGTGCCAAACAGCAAGAATCCAGTCTATGATCTTGCACACAGGATCACATGGAGGAGGTACTTTGCCTCTGAACTGCAAAGAGAAAAAATGTTTGACGTAAGGACTCTGCTGCAAACACTTTTCCTTGAAAATCCAAGTAGGCTTTTTGTTTTTTCTTTTCCTGCTATATTGCCATTAGAAAAATCAGGAACAGTTATGAGCTGGGCAGACCTTTTTATGGAATATACTGAAGCTTTCTTGTATTAAAACTTATTTCCCCAACTCAACTTTAAAAGATATCTCCTTATCCATAAATTGACATGCCTCTACTTTTTGTGGGAAACAGGCACAAATTTGGCAGCAGTGCTTTTTCTATGGCGTTTAAGATTAGGATTAAAAGAGATACCTACAACATCCTCTGCAATGTATGTGATATAAATAAAGCATATAAAAGAACATACAATCACACTGAACAGGAAGTTCTGATCTAGGCATGTTGTCAGTGGATTTCCATATTGATTTTAGATTTAGCAGCAATGAAGGAAAGATGCCTTCCTCCAAGACTCACATTTTTCAGTATGCCTTGTTAAATGCAAATTATGTTGTGCCAGAAAAATCTTGTTTCATCTGACTCCAAATTACAGTCTTCATCATCCTAATCCTAGGATTATCCACTGGAACAGTTTGAAGTAAAGGAAGCATTAAAAGATGCACTAAGGGTAGTTATTTGCCAGCATTAAGCAAGAGCTTCTTGACAAGAGCCTACAGATCAACAAGGTAATGTTCATGTAGAAAAACATTTAAATTCTTCCAACATATCCTAATTGTCCAAAATAAGGGGAAAAGAGCTTTTCAGCGGAAAACATGAATATTAAGGCGCAAACAAGGTATCAGAATACAGAGCAAGGATCTTTGAAATAGTCTACTCAAACAATAAACGAGCTTTTATTTCATATTTTTATAACAGATTAATCTTTCTTTTATTTTAAATTTTGGAACCCACTATTTCAAGCCCCACAGCAACTGACATTTGAGTTCGCATTTGGCACATGTTTGTATTTAAAAAAAAAAAATAAAAAAAAAAATCTACTGGCACACTAGGTATTTTTCATAGAACCACAGAATCATAGAATAGTTA